ATTTGGTTCCCTTTTTATTTTCAACGATTGGGTTTTTCCTTTTCATCCTTATGCTTTTTCTTTTGCCTTTGTATAATTTTTGATCTTTTGCACATCTTTCTTTCTTTCTTTCTTTCTTTCTTTCTTTCTTTCTTTCTTTCCCTTTTGGGTTCTTCGTCTTTTCTGTTATCGACTACGTCTTTTATTAAAGTTATTTCGTTTCGTATTATCTTATTTCATTTTTTCCTTTATTTATTTCATTTCTTTATTTGCATATTTATTCATTCTTTTCACTTTTTTCTCTCATAGTATTCTTCGCTCATTCCTTTCCTTTCTTCGTTTTGCTTATTCTTATATTTTTGTTCGTTTTTTTCTATTGTCTTTGTTTTTCTATAATTCATTCTCCTTTTTGTTTCTTTCTTTATGTCGTTCTTTTCTTGTTTTCTGTTTCTTTCTTTCTTTTGTTCTTTTCATTTTCTTTCTTTCTTTTGTTCTTTTCATTTTCTTTCTTTCTTTTGTTCTTTTCATTTTCTTTCTTTCATTCATTCATTCTTTCTTTCTTTTTCATTTTATTTTCTTTCATTCTTTTTATTCTTTTTCTCTTTATGCCTTCTTTCTGCGATTTTTTCTTTTTCTTTCTTTCATTCTTACATCTTTATATCTACGACATTTCCATATTTTCCTCTTCCTTACAACCTTTCTCTTATTTTCTTCAATCCATCTATCTTTATTTCTTCCCTGTTTTCTTTCTACGATATTTTTGTATTTTTGCTTTCCCTTTCTTTTACAAGAACTTCATCGTTCCTTTCTTTCTTCTTTTTCCTAATTTCGATCATGCCCTATTTCTATTCATTCTTTTCCTCCTCCTCCTCCTCCTCCTCCCAAATATCGTCACACTTTTACAATAGTTTCTTTCTCTTCTTTTCATCTTCATAACTAAAATCTTCCTTTTTCTCTCCTCCATTTTACTTATTTTCCGGACGCTTGTTCATAACTGCGAACTTTCTCGTTTGCTTGTGTCCGTTGTTGTCTGATGACGTCATCACTGATCAGAACCATGTGTCGACTGACTGTGGAGTGAAGCAAGCCTCCGATGCAATTTGACAAGGGAATTACGTGTGTGTAGTGACGTGTGAAACTTTCTTGCAAACACCTTCACGCAGCTCGTTTCTCAGCCGCCATTTTAAAAAAATTCTCCTTCAATGTTCCTGTCCGTATCTTGCATTATTTCTATAACGCCTTTGCTTCTCTCCAATTCTTCGCCTCCTCCCATTTTCCTTTTCTTTTTTTTTCCTTTATCTTTCTTTTATTCTCTACAATTTTCCATTCTGTTGGAACGTTTTCTTTCTTGGATTTCTTTCGATTTCTCGTTACTTTTTTTTCTTTTTCTCCCTCTCTTTCTCTCTCTAATTCTCTCTCTTTCTTTATCCTTACTCTGTTTTATTTTTTCCATCCCCTCCCCATCCTGTACAACATAATATCTTTTCTTTCTGTCAGTTTATTTAATCGTTTTTCATTCCTTATTTTTTTTAATCGTACATTCATTCCTATATATATATATATATATATATATATATATATATATATATATATATATATATATAAAACAGAGGATGCCTGTTTGTCTGTCTGTGTGATACCTTTTCACTCGAGATCCATCCAACCGATTTTGTCCAAACTTGGCATATACATTTTACAATGTACAAATAGATTCTTAGTGTAAAAAATCGATAATTTTTAAAAAACAATAATCGATAAAGCCGATCAAACATCGATAAATTCAAGTTTTTTCCTCTGATTTCGTTCAAACTCGGTATGTAGGTTACTTATTTCATGACAAGCTCAACGATACCTCATTTTTATTTCTACGCCACTGTGTTTAGCGAACAATCGCGAAAAACGAAAAATTGATTTCAACACAAATTTTAAACTAAAAATTCCCTCAAATTTTTAAGCAATCTAATACAAACTTCACTCAGTTGTAACCAATAATAATTTGATTGTTTAACAGTCAGTTAACTTAATGATTGAGTTCACCCATATAGAGAAAACCCGCGTAAATAGCGAAAAATGGCGATTTTTACTGGTTTCTTTCTTATTTTCCGTTGATCTTTCAATTTTTCATCATACTTAACATTGCTTTATAAATGTATCCTCTTTTACATCTCTGTTAGCACACTGACAAACTGAACTAAAAAAAAAACTCCAAAATAATTGTAGTCTGAAGTGGGTATTCTTGTTGACTGTTTTATCCCTTCATGTCCTCGGCAAACTTCGACTGAATAAGTACAGACTATTTCTGTTATATCAGTAGCTGCATTAATTCAAAATGTTTTTTATGAAAGTAATTTAAAGTTATTGAAGATAGACTCTCTTACATCTAAACATGGTTCTGTTTTTGCTCCATTGGAATTGAACGCTTTTTCTGATCGACTAGCTGAGTATGGACGCTAGCCCTTAATATTTTAATCTCAAACTTTAAAAAATTACTTTCAATCGCAAATAGGTGCGTAAAAAAGCGGGGTCCTTTGCAAGTATGGTATTATCAGTGAATTGATCACTCTAAAACCTCTTCTATTTCAGGCCAGGTCGGAATGCAATCCGCTGAAAAACTGTCGATTGCTATATATGCAATTTTTAGTTCTTTTAGTCCTCATTTATTTTACTGGGTTCGCCAATTATAGCGTTGTGTCACTGCGAGGGCCTTCACCCAATTTACCATCTACCGATCAATGATCATACTGAATCTCTATTCTCGTTCGTGGCAGTGGACACTAAAACAGGGAACGGTTCGTTGCAAGCTCTCAAAAAGGTAAATGGTGGCAATAAACGCCACGGCGATAAATTAGGAATTGTACCATGATTTCCCATATATCTAAGTGTTTATTCAGGGTTTCACGAACTGGGTGGGTAGGTAGAGGACACTTGAGAAAACTTCTGTCAGATCAGACTAACAGATACTTTTCTTTCTTTCAAGACTGCCTCCTACCAATTCTGTGCCCATCTGAACATCACGACATGCTGCTGACAGATTTAATGGATGGCATCGGAACTCCGCGAGGGATATATAAAATCAGGCTACACTCTTATTGATATTCCCATGTAATGTAGGTTTATATATAACTAGCTTAGAAGCCACTCTATTGGGCGGCATTTAAGCTAGCTCATGCGGGGGGTTCTAGATTGGGCCTTCATCATAATAGGCAGGGATGAGTAGATGCGATAGACCAGAATAAACTACATAAGAACTCATAGTTGATCGCTGCATATTTAAGCTTACCTTTCAAAAGTTCAACGATAATTCTATCGCCACTTAATTTAAAGTAATTTGATCTACGTAGGTCCTTACTTTCCGTACAAACAATTATTTTTATTTCATGGGTGACTTTCGCTGGATTTCGCAATTAATTTCGATTATTCCCAAATTTATTTCCAAGTAAGAAAAATTGTTATTGTAAAAAAAATTAGTCGCAAAAACTCACGTTAAAAAAACGCCGAAACCAATCGCAGTAATGAAAACTTGGGAATCTAAAATTTCAAAATTGCGAGTTTGGATCCGCCCCATAATATTTTTAATTTTCTCACGGAGTCGGCTTCATTCCAAAATGGTATGATATAATAGGCTACGGTCTCTAGAAATAAAGTTGAAAACATGGACAATTTTATTTTGAAACTCTGTAGCTTGAAAACAGTATTTTTTTCATTTGAACATGAGCTATTGAAAGTTAGAGAGTTGTGTCCCTTTAATTAATTAACCTAACACACGTGGCCTGACGATTGCGTCTAACATGAAACAGTAGGTCGCCTCTGAGTGTCGACTACAATGTTCACTTTTATATTTACATACCCTTTATCTCTGATTTTGAGCATTTTATCCCATAAATATAGCACACCTTAAAACTAAATTTCTTCATTCATATTCATCTATCTATCTATCTATCTATCTATCTATCTATATATATATATATATATATATATATATATATATATATATAGAGAGAGAGAGAGGGAGATAAATAGATATATTTATACAAACATTGTTCATTCAAACGTCTTATAGTATGTATAGATAGTATAGTAAAATATATTTAAAGATTGAACACAGTCATTATAAAAGTTTTTGAAATTCCGTACTTGAAGGACTGTCGTTTTTGCTATGGATAATTCGAAATTCGGAGAGGAAAATGGACAAACTGAATAAACACAAAATCTTTAAACATTTTGATATATATATATATATCACAAACTCATATCCATTCAAATAAAGATGTTAGCTCTATAATTGATATTGAGCGCTTTCCAATAACCACTACACAGATATCATATATATATATATATATATATATATATATATATATATATATATAATCTGGTCCAACAGTATTGGAACGGCAATGCCAATTACTTTGTTTTGTTGTTTACTGAAGACAATTGGGTTTAAGATCAAAAGATGAATATGCTATAAGAGTTCAGAATTTCAGTTTTTATTTGCTGGTATGTACATTTAGATGTTTTAAACAACTTAGCACATACCACCTTTTGCATGAACCCACCCATATTTCAAGTGAGCAAAACTATTGGAACACGTGACTGACACGTGTTTTCTTTTGTGCGGATATTGCCTATTAGATTGATTGTTTAATCATTAAATTGCGCTGAATGACTGCTCTTGGTTTTGGCCTTGGGTTTCACCTGTGTTTTATACCCTACCTATCCTCATAAATACGTTGGACACTATTGTAAATGGGGGGTAATATGCTGTCTAAGAATCTCAACAGGGTTGATTTGTCAGGAAGGAAATTTCCTGATGTTATCGGTCTGGAGGTGGGAAATCACAGCGGACAGTACCTTAGGAAAGTGCCTGAAAAACATACCACGGGTTGACTGAAGCCTTGTTGGGGCCGTCGAAATCACAAGTCCGAGAGTTTGAGTGAGTTGGCCTTGTTCAGGTTGTTGATCACGCTAGATAACACGCACTCTCCCAGAAACCGTAACTAAGGTCTGCTCAACACAGTTGCAGA